CCTGCCTCTACTGTATGTTTGCCTTTATCAGTGAGCTTTTCCATTTTATAATTTTCATGTTTCCAGTTACGGCCTTTCTTTTTCACTTAGAGAAGTTCCCATAACATTTATTATAAAGGTGTTTTGATATTGCTGAATTCTTTTAACTTTTGCTTGCTCTATCAAATATGAATGAAAAGCACTGCTGGGTAGAATGTCCTTGCATGTAGATTAATCACTGTATATCATGCCACTCCCTTCTAGGCCTTCAGAGTTTCTGCTGAAAAGTCAGCTGATAACCTTATGGGAGCTCCCTTGTACATTGTTATTTTTCCCTTACTGCCTTTACTCTCTGTGTATCTTTCATTTATGCCATTTTAACTACAATGTATCTTGGTGTGTTCCTCTTTGGGTTAATCCTGTATGGGACTTTCTGTGCTTCCTGCACCTGGATGACTGTTTGCTTCTCCCGGTTAGGGGAGTTTCCAGCTATTATATCTTCAAATATATTCCCATCCTCTTTCTCGCTCATCCTTCTGGGACCCTATAATGTTGCTATCAGTGTGCTTGATGTTGTCCCAGAGGCTTCAAACTGTCCTCATTTCATTGTTTTTCTGTTCAGCATCAGTGATTTCCACTACTGTCTTCTAGCTTGCTGATCCATTCCTTTGTATCAATTAATCTACTATTGATTACTTTAAGTGTTTTTCATTTTTGTTTCATTGTTCTTTATATTTCCTAACTGTTAAAAACTTCTAACTTCTCACTCTGTGCATCCATTCTTGTCCTGAGTTCTTTTGTCATCTTTACAATCACTGCCCTGAACTTTCTTGGGTAGACTATTTTCACTTCACTTAGTTTTTCCTCTGTGGTTTTATCTTATTCCTTCATCTGGAATATGTTCCTCTGTCACCTGATTTGTTTGTATTTTTATGTATGTGGTAGGTTAGTTACACTACCTGACCTTAGAGAAGTGGCCTTCTGTAGGAGACATCCTGTGTATCCCGGCAGTGCATGACCCTCTTATCACCCAAGCTATATGCTCTAGCAGTTCCCTCTATGAGGGGTTTGTGGGTCTTCCTGTTGTGGTGGGTGGACTACTTGGCTGGTCTTGTAGGCTTGGTTGGCTTCTGGTCTGGTTTGTTTCCAGGTCCTGCCTTATGCAGACACTGCTGGTTGGCAGGGCTGTGTCACAAGGTTTCTAACTGCAGAACCCCAGGGTCTTTTATCCTTCATATTAGGGGGCCCTATGCTAGTGTTGGATCCCTGGTGGGTAAAGTCAGGGTCTAGAACACTTTGGGATGGTTGCTCCCCAATTGGTGGCTGAAGCCAGGTCTTCAGGTTAATGCAGACTACTGGCAGGCCAAGCTGGGTTGTGGAGTCTGATTGTAAGGCTGAGGGGTTTGAGAGCTCATGTCAGGTTATTGGTGGGGGGCGGGGGTACTGCTTCCTGACACAAGTGGGTACAGGCTCGGGGGTGTCCCAAAGCTTGTGTTGGTCTGCCTGATAGTGGGCAAGGCCAGGGTCCAGCTGGTCCCAGGGCAGTGTGCTTGGACAGGCTGAGTCTATAAGCTGCAAAATTGTGTTTTTCTTTCATCGGTGTCTGCTCCCTAGTGGGTGAGGCTGGTCCAGAGGCCAGAGCAGGCTTCTAGAATGCAGGGCCACAGTCAGAGATGGCTATGGACTCAGGAGGCCTGTAGCAGCCTGTTTGCTGACAGATGTGGCCTGTGTCCCCACCCAGTTAGTTACCTGGCCTGAGATGTCCCAGCACTGGCACCTACAGGCTATCAGGAGGAGCCAGGTCTTGCTGCTAAAGAGCTAGAGGGAAGA